GTAGACTGAGTGGTGCTCGGGAAGCACAAACACGAGAGAGCCAGGCAGGCTTTAGACCAGGAAGAGGGTGTATTGATCATATCTTCACCCTCCGACAGATTCTAGAACATAGCCATTCCTACCGGCGTCCAACAGTCATTATATTTCTTGACCTAAAAGCAGCATTCGACTCTGTCGATCGGGAAGTTCTCTGGAGATGCTTGGCTGTAAAGGGAATTCCAAGAAAATATATTGCACTGATTAAGGCACTCTACTCGTACTCATACAGCCAGGTGAGGGCTTACGGCGAGCTGTCATCTGAACTGATGACGACCAGTGGTGACCGTCAAGGATGCCCATTATCCCCTTTTCTATTCAACTTCATCATAGATGTGTTAATGGACTTAACCCTAAGTGACTAAAAAAAATCAGGGATTGACTTGCTACCAGGGAATAATCTCGTTGACTTGGAATATGCAGACGATATAGTCCTTCTAGGCGAGGACGCTGACAAAATGCAGAGTCTTCTAAACACCTTGAGCCGCAATCTACGAATGTTTGGCATGCGACTCGCTCCCGCCAAATGCAAGATGATGTTACAGGACTGGACTACATCGACGCCTAGTTTAAAAATAGGAAGTGAAGTGGTAGAGCACGTTGACCGCTTCATTTATTTGGGAAGTACCATTGGCCAGTGCCAACGGGCTGATCTCTGACGAAATCTCAGCACGAATACAAGGGGCTCGTTTCGCATTTTCCAGTTTACGCCGACTCTGGCGTAGACGAGATGTTCGACTATCGACCAAAGGGCGGGTGTACTGCTCATCAGTCCGCTCCGTCCTCCTTTATGGCTGTGAGACCTGGCCACTGAGAGTGGAAGACATGAAAAGACTAGCTGTCTTTGATCATAGGTGCCTGCGTTCTATTTCCCGTGTAAAGTGGCATAATAAGGTGAGCAACATGGAGGTTAGGCGTAGAGTTCTAGGTAAACAGGGAAATCAATCGACGAAGTCGTGAAGCTACAAAGACTGAGATGGTTAGGACATGTGTTACGTATGCCAAGCCATCGCCTCCCTCGACGAGCAATGTTAGCGGATATAGGGTCAGGCTGGAAAAAAGCTAGCGGAGGTCAAACGAAAACTTGGCACCAGTCAATGAAATCCACAACAGTTGGTCTAAGCCACGTAGAGAGGTGTAGACTTCCAGGCTGGGGTCCTCGGGACTGTAAAAATCTATGGTTGGAAACAATTGGTGACATGGCTCAAAATCGTTCTCAGTGGCACAGATGCATCCACTCCCTGTGACTTATGATCTCCAGTGAAACTGTTTTGTATTTCTTTATTACTCCTTTGTCTCACACCTCTGCTCACTGTTTCTGTTATGCTTTTCTTGTACTTTCTTCTCTTGCTTCGCGTGCTACACGGAATGTGGCGACTTGAACGGGCGCACATTTGTGCAAAGTTCTATGTCGAAAACAGACAGACAGACAGACATCCAGGAAATGTAGTTTATTCTCCTACTCCTCCTCACAGGTAAAGGTAAGCAAAGGGTAGATGTTGTTGAATTTCAGCAACAATTTCGTCTACGTTAACATTCTCATCAGCTAAGATAAATGTATCAGCGAAACAACGGTAATACACATACCAAACTCTTTGATGATGTCCTTCAATTTCCCGTTTTCAAGTTTTGCGTGAAAGAAGTCAGCTAAATATATTAGGCCTAATGGTGAACCACCCATCCATAGCTATTCCATCTACTTGTCGACAGTATGAATTATTGAAGACAAAGTGATGAACATTCATAGATAGTTATTAGCGTGAAATCAAGACATAAAAGAAGTTGAATAAACCTTAATACGAGTTACGTAATAGGATGAATAGTTTAATTAATGAGTGAGTTGTAATTAAGATTCACATAGATAGAAAGAAGTAAAGGAAAACATGGAATTACGTAAGAGTTATAAACATTACAAATGTTATAAGAAGTTAGAAAAGAAAAGAAAAAAAGAGACAAGCACACCAAACATCAAGTCAGGTGAAGTCAATAGCCTATTTTCGGCGGCGAATTCATTTTCTTAGCTGTACACTCGCATGTTATATTCTTATTTTTGTATGTGTGTGTGTGTGTTTACACCAGGTTTCTCCAAAAAAGAATAGAAATAAGCTTAAAGGTTATTGTTGACTTCTACTAACATTTGTAATTTCACAACTCTTCCGTAATTCCATGTTTCGCTTTGCTTCTATGTACATCCTGATCACAACTCATTCATTAATTAAACTATTCATCTTATGACGTAACTGTATTATTACGCTTATTCAACTTCTTTTATGAGTTGATGATTCACACTAATAACTATGTTTTGTTTTTGTTTTGACAACAACACATCGCCACTACCCTCTTACAAATCCTCAGCCGACCCCCCTCCGGACCTTAGTTACAATTTGATTACTAATCACATTTTTGATACAGAAATGGTGTTTTTACGAGTTGATCACGGATTCATATCCGTTAGAGAATTGTGACCAACTGTAAATAAACAAAACTAATCCTTGCAAAACCAACTATAGAAAATTAATCTAATGCTCGCTAGTGACTGACTGGCTACAGGACGGAGTTTCCTGGAGTTCTAGTGAAAACTTGTGACCAGTGAGGTCCATCATCCAGACGTCAAGTGTGAGAATGGATGTCCCACCGACGACATTGGTTGGTGCCAGTCGCGCTAAATGCACCACGAATTGGTAAGAGTTAGAATTGATGGGCTGGCTATTGAGGAGTCGGGTCTCAGTAGCTGAGTAGTATACGAGTTAGCTTGCCTTGTAGCCGGAAGGTCCTGGGTTCGAATCCCACCATGTGGGTGTGTATTGTGGATGATTTCCAAACTAGGCTGATGAAACACCTGACTGTCCAGTACTCCCTGGCTGGTTTTCAATGGTTCTTCTCTAACTGATATCAACCAGTGATCAACTCGCAAAAACAAAGCTAACCCTTACAAACCAAGTCATAAAAATAAAACTAACCCTTATGAGCCAACTATAGAAAAAAAACAGATATGTTAACTGAATTGATTTTTTTATTTCAGATTTTCACGTCGATTGATTGGACCGAAGAGCGCTTGGTCTCAGGTTGACATGTCGGCTTCTTGTGCAGATGCTTCGAAGATGTCTGAGCAATTAATTAGATTTTATAACTGGTGGATGGTGACTAGCAGCGGAGTCAAGGATAAAGCGCATTTCGTCCTATTTTGGACTCGTCGGCAACTGGATGTACCCGCATTCCCCAGTGAGGGTTGATGATGTTCCCACCGAGGCTCAACCCAGTGCCCACAGTTTCAAACACCAAAGCGTTATCCACTAGACCACTTGGGCCACGTGAGCCACCACCTCTTGCGCAACGCGTCATATTAATTTAATTTAATTTTAATTTTATCAATCGACGGGAAAATCTAAAATAAAACTTAAATTAGATTAATATGACCCGTTGCACAAGAGGTGGCTCTCATGGCCCAAGTGGTCTAGTGGATAAAGCTTTGGTGTTGGAAACTATGGGCACTGGGTTTGAGCCCCGATGGGAACATCATCACTCACCGGGAAATGCAGGTACATCCGCTAGCTGACGAGTCCCAAATGGGACGAAACGCACTTTATCCTGGATTTCACTGCTAGTCACCATCCACCAATTAAATCCTAAAGAGATGTTTACTGTTTACGGTATTCCAGACTGTCATTATCGTTTAATTATTCTTGTTACTTTTTTTAAAATCTTTTCTGGTTTATTTCAACACTTTGTTTGAGTTCCTTTATCGTTTGTACTTTCCCTTGTACTTAAACTAATTTACACTTCTCCACTTATCTGTAGCCTCAGGGGAACTGATGTCTCTTTCGAAGCTTGCATACGCATTAACCTATCAGTGTATAGAAACTTCCGATCCTTTGTGGTTTGAACAGAGTTAGCCAGAGTAGGTTTCTTTTCATCTATTAGGGTTATAGGCCTATGATACTACCACCCAGCTGGCGAGAATGAAGCAGATGGCGTGGGACTCGAGCCCAGGCGGGTCCCATTTGACTGTAATTCGAGTGTTGCTTAATTTTTAAACTCAGAAAAAACTTGATACAACATGGCACCAAGAAAGATGCGCCACACAATAATAATAAAACAACATAGATCAAAAGTAAAAAAAATTTAAGTAGAGAACAGATAAAGAACTTCATCTCGAAGGAAAACAGTCATACTTAACAAGTTCAAACAGTATTCGTCAACTATCATCGGGAAGGGAAGAAAGGAGGAAATTGCAACACGTTCGCCATTGATTACGGTTCTTGGACATATCCGATAACGTTTCGAGCTGTCTCGCGGATACCAACCAGGGAGTCATGACACACCAATCGATGCTAATCTAGCACAAACATCCTTCACCCCACGACGCCACATCATGGACTGATCACCCCTCCGCCTTTTCCATTCCGTCCCAGGGTTGGCTAGCGAACAGATACCTGTACGGAAGCCTCTGGGATGACATTCGAAGCACATGTCCAAGCAACCGGAGCCGGTGTTTCCAGATGACGACACTCAACGAATGGTGATCTCCACTGTGTTCAAATACACGCCGCCGAACCTCAGAATTACTCACGCGATGATGCCATCGAGTGCAAGCAATCCTGCGGAGACAGCGATGATCAAACACACAGAGTCGCCGAACATCCTCGGCTTACTCGGAGAGGCCAGGTTTCACAGGCATAGAGCAGGGCACCCCGCACCGAAGCATTGTATACCCGACCTTTGACAGCCAGGCTAACGTCGCGACGGCGCCAGAGGTGGCTCAAGTTGATGTATGCCACCCTAGCCTTCATTATACGGTTGGAAATCTCATCCGTCACCCCTACGCCAGCACTCACACAACTACCCAGATACACAAACTTATCGACAACTGCAAGCGGTTCACCTGCAAGCAAGAGTGAGTGCAGGTACAGACACTTCTGCCAATCTTGTAACAGTACTTTGCACTTAGACGGCGCAAAGCAGCACATACCATACTTACAAACACTGATCACCAACTGATTAAATGCGATTTGGGCAGCCTGCATACTATCACCCAGTAAGACGATATCGACTGCATACTCGAGGTCGAAAAGTCTATCTCTTCAGGTAGCAGATCTACACCACCTTCACGCACATCCTTCAGAGCTGACTCTAGAATGTGTTGCTTAAGGCATAAAGAACTATTTTTTCAACATATCTTGTGAAATGAAGAAGAAACACACAACAACATCCTCGCTACAGAAGCTCCTTCAATACAAAACGAACCTCTATACAAAAGATATGAACATAGGCAGCAAATGAAACAATCAAACAAAGTTGTAAGAAACCTACCTATTGATGGAATTGAAACAGACGTTGTATTTGCAGGATTTGGTGGAGTAGTAACTGTGGTAGTTGAACATATCCTTGTCGTAATAATACCATTATTTGACAAAGAGGAAATATCTTTTAACTTATCATAGGCGTCAGCAGTTGAAGTGTACTCATTGACTTTAGTTGTTGTTGTTTCAAACGACACAGACGAAGGAGAGTTGTTATATGGCATCATCTTGATTTCTGATTGGTTAGACTCTAATGCATTCTTTGAATGCAGTGATGTGAGTATTTTGGTTTTACACATTTCTGATTTAGAGGGAGAATTTTTATCCTAAAAATCAATAGCAGAATGAAGAAATGTGTGGATGATTTTGCATTACATCAGAAGTAAAAATAAAAAAATAACAACATGGTGTGAATGCATTTGTGTTATTTGAGAACGATTTTCAGCTGCAGGACTGACCCCCCCCCCCCCACCAACAGTTCTCCTCCAGACATCGGCTCTTACCATTTTCGAGGAGCCCAACACTACCATCGCCATCATCGGTTACTCTGTATTAACCTAAGTGTGACTTATGAATTTCAAACAGCCCCAACTATTTTCTAATCAAATCCTAGGTCGGCTAACACAAAGACTAAAAACCAAATATATATATATATATATATATATATATATACATATCAACCAATCGCTAAGTCTTATAATGACACAATATTGAGGTAAGGCGTCGGTCGAGTGCCAGCTAGGTAATGAGGGGAAATTAATCCACGAGGCTGTGAAGCCACATTGACTGAGATGGTTAGGATATGTGTTACGCATACCTGTCTATTCATCGCCTTCCTCGACAGGCAATGTTAGCTGACATAGGATAGATCAGGCTGGAAAACACCTAGCGACGATCAAACCAAAAACATGGTTTCAGTCGATGAAATCCACAACAGTTAGTTTAAACCAACCACTCACGTAAGGGGGAAGTGTAGACTTCCTGACTGGTTGGTTGGGGTCCTCAGGACGGTAAACATCAATGAAGGCTAGCGACAATCGGTGATATTGCTCAAACTCATCGTTTTCAAAGGGTGGCTAGCGCGGATGCATCCACTCCTTGTGACTTATAATTTACGATGAAACTATATTGTTCTTCGTTATTACTATTCCTTATGTCTCTTAACCCTGTCTACTGTCTCTATCAAGCATTTCTTCTACTTTCTTCTCTTGATTTTGTGCTACAAGGAGGGAGTGTGGTGACTTGAACTTCTGCACATTGATGCAAAGTTCTGGGTCGAAAGCAGGCAGGTAGGCAGGCTTATAACGACAAATGTAAACTAGCTATTAACTATCACTACACTTTCACAAACTGTTCAAAATTCCACTGGATCTAAAAGCAAACTGGCTAGAATCTATAGTCATTATTCAAAGGTTAACCAACTTTCTACAATA